TATTTGGCCATTTTTACACACAGAAACATGCACAGCCAGACAGGGAAAGCTGTGTGGGTAAGTGGAGTTCACCTTAGAATATGCTACTTACCATTCTCACAGCAATACCACATGCAGGAAAATATGATAGTAACAAAAATAGTAAAGAGAGGTTTTCAGTGCATTTTAGTTATCGCTATGAACATTCCTCCCCTACATACCTGCCTACTTTTCTTTTCCTGTTTTTTCTTCCTTCTTATGATTTTAATAATTCAAAAGACTACTTCAGTGGTGGGGAAATTAAGTTGGAAAATTATCAATCATGGGATTATATATCAGGAGATTGCTACTGTTGTTTCATACTTTCAAACAAATGTCAATGTTAAGGCTTCGTTTAACATTCAAGGATTATTTCTCAGGAGATTTATTATAGAGCATAATCTCTGGACTAGAAAATAATATATTTTAAAAATACAAAAATGTCTATTCTTTTGGCAGACACTTATAAGTTGCTCTTGTGCCAAGCAGTTATCGCCTTATTTAATCTCTATCAGGGACTCTTTTTTTTTTTAATAGAAAAATTGAAACACAGAGAAATTAAGTGATTTTTCCAAAGTTACACAGCTGGCCAGTGGTAGAAATGAAAAACAAATTCATATCTGACATTTGTTTGACCTTGTGTGCTCAGCCCCCTGTGTCATGCTGCAGTGCCTGGGGTGAGGGTCCAGCATAGGAGGAGGAGGATTTTATATCAAATGGGAGAATATTGAGCAATGGTATAAACAAGGACGATGAAACTGAGTGTGATGGAGGGAAGCAGCTTTCAGACAGCTGTGTGGTAGGCTCTATACTAACCCTGGAGGCCCAAGAGAATTACTAACCCTGGAGGCATGAGAATTAAGAGTCTGCTTTTAGTTAGAGGAAATGGCATGAGTAGAAGATGCTGGCTCTGGAAGGTATATTCATAAAATAAAGTCTAGTCTAGGTGGAGAATATGATTATGTATAGAATACAACAAAAAGCAGCTATGGCCAAATTTTGCAGGCCCTGTTGGAATTAGGGAAAAAATGGTTTTCGAGCAGCAAACTGGCTAGAACAGCTATAGTGTGGTAGGGCAGAAATTTGAAGAAAGATATGCTAGAAGCATAAAAAATAATTAGAGTATATTTATTTTCTATTATAGCACACATTTATTATGTCATAGTTTCTGTGGGTCAGGAATCCAGGCACAGCTTAGCTGGGTCCTCTGTTTAGGATCGTACAACACTCAGAACAAGGCTCAATAGGGGATTATTCGCTTTTGTTAGCAGAATTTAGTAACTTGTGGCTTTGTGTCAAAGCTGCCCTTATTTCCCTCCGGGGGCCTTCCAAAATAAGCCTTCTGCCTCCTACAACATAGAATCTTGCTTCTTTAAAGCCGCAAGGGAATGAAAGAGTTCAGCTTAACAGCACTACTATCTTACATACTTGACCACATATGTCTTGTCACCTTTGCCAGCTTCTGTTGAGTTAGACGCAAGTCACAGGTTCTTCCCACATTCAAGGGCAGAAGAATGCACAGGACATGAATATCAGGAAATGCAGATCAGAGGTCTGCTCTAGACTGTGCTGAGAAGAAGTGGTTTATGACACAAGCACTCAGATTCTGAATTGAGGTGCTTATTAGTACAAATGGAAGAATCAGATTCAAGAAAGTATCTAGGAAATACTTTTTATTTGTGTTGAAGATTAAACCTAGAACCTTGTATATTAAAGTGAATGCTCTACTACTAAGCTACATCCACAGCCCATCAGAAATATGATTATGATTTCTGGCCTGTACTGTGTGAAATTGTATTCATTAATGTCATGTAAGACTCAAAAATATCTTTCTGTGTGTTAGGAAAATCCTTATTTCACAGATAAGGGCATAGCTTTGAAAAGCACTTTAGTCACATACATTCTAGCTTCACAGCTTGATGTCCCAACCTGGGATTTAACCTTCAGAATTTAGTGTCAGAGTACAAACTCTCAGCCACTGTGCTTTAGTTATACTTAAAAGCAAGGGGATCTAAAATGGATAAGAAAAGGCAGAAGATGATGCCAAGATTTTAAAACATGCAATTCAGAGAATGGTTATGTTAAGTAAAACAGAAATGGCTCGAGGGGCACTAGTCAAGTAATAATTGATTGTGCTTATACCATATGCCAGGCAGGATGCTAAGCATGCAGATGCACAATGCTCACACATATAGCAACATTTAATGTTCTAACAGCCTGGTAATAGTCCTTTCACCTATTTTACAGATTGAGGAAACAGGTCCATGCTTGTGTCCATCTAACTCAAGGTTCCATAAATACAATAATTGTGTTCTAATTACTGACACATTAAAAAGCACCCATCATATAAATTTTTGCATGAACACAACAAAGTAAGTGGTTAAGTCATAATTTGCAGTTATAGAAGCCCCACCTTTCCTCTTAGAATACATTTCATTGTAGCCACATTATGTTTAAAGGTACAGCAGGATATCTAGATGTGAATGTTCAACAGATACCTAAACCCCATCAATAGAGCTTGAAAAAAAAAAAGTCAAGGATAAACTAAAAAGGGGTATCCACGTGGAGACTATAGTCTACAATTAGATGGGATGATGACAATAGAAGGCATAAGCGTAAAACTTCAGAGAACACTTTAAAAAGCAAAGAGGGAAGAGAAGGAAGGAAGGATATCAGAAATATCAACCACCACAGAGTAAATATAAGAGATCATAGATGGCATTTTGGTAAGCAGATTCAGGAAAATAGACCCCAACTAAGTCAGCTGGCAGGTGACACAGGGTATGGGAAAGGGTATGGGAAGGAAAGTGAGAATGTAGAGTTCATGAGTAGAAGTGCCTCTGTGATTTTGGAAGAGCTAGTAGTAGTAATATGAGAAGGTTAAACACTTGAATAGGAGAGATCTGTGTAATAGACAGAAGGGAAGGCTCAAGTAGGAAGAAACTAAAGATGACAGGAATAGGGGCTGGGGATGTGGCTCAAGCGGTAGCGCGCTCACCTGGCATGCGTGCGGCCCGGGTTCGATCCTCAGCACCACATACAAACAAAGATGTTGTGTCCGCCAATAACTAAAAGAAATAAATATTTAAAAAAAAAAAAGATGACAGGAATAGACTTTATGGAAAATAACCCCAGTGGATGCAGGCGAAGAATAAGATGCAAAATGATTGACACAAAGGGCAGTTCTTAGAAAAGATGAATAACATACCTCTGGATGGAGAAGAGCTCGCCTCTATTTTTTGTTTCTGGGAAAGATTTTTTTATTTTCAAAAAAGAAAAGTAGAGGTTGAGTAAAGAAAATTTTATGTTCAAACTGAAGGTCCTCAGTTCTCCTTTTTTCTTTGTATAGTACTTGGTTCCTTACACATGCTAAGCAAACACTCCACCACTGAGCCCTGTCCCTGACCCCCCTCAATTCTTCTTTAACAAGGAGACAAATCCATCTCCTTAGAAACCACAGGGAAAGATTTCAGGACTAGAAGATAGTAAGAAATCTTTTATTGAATAGAAACAACAGTTGACAAAAGTTTATTGACTACTTTGAAATAGGTAGGTAATTCAGTAGAGAAGACAATAAAGGATTAAATAAGCATCATTAGGGACCCCACTAAGATGAATCATCATGAAAGATTAATGGAGCCCACAAGCATAGTTTTATAACTTTGGCCAACTTATAATAAGTGGTTGTTGAAGGAAGTTAGTGATATCACACTGAGTTGGAAACTGAGATGGTAAGATGGCAAACAAGTATAGAGGAAGGATGGCTTCTACAGGCCAGTGAAGAGAGTAGAGTATTGGCATGGTCTGAGCTGAGTAATGAAGCAAATGCATACTGGAAGTTCAGAAACAAAAGTTTTGGCTGTAGTTCATATTATCAAAAGTAAGGAAATAAAGTGTGATCAGAAAGTGAATGTTCCAAAGTTTGATGTCTTAGAATAAAATATTACTTCCATCAAACTATAAAATGTGCGCACACGCGCGCTCTCTCTCTTTCCCTCTCTCTCTGCTTTTAGAATAAATAATGAAGTATTAGCCCAATGAATTAGATGGTTAAGAAGTAAAAATGAATGTGGTACAGTATGAAAGGAGGTAGAGAAAGGACTGACAAAGCATCTAAATCATCAAGACAGGTGGGATGTTATAAGTAGTTCATACACACTATAATAAAAGTAGGCTTGAATGTCAAGGTTCAGAAGTTGACAAAGACAGTGTTTTTGAGACTAGTCGTTTTTTGGGGGGTTTTTTTGTTGTTGTTGTTTTGGCTGGGGGATACCAGGGATTGAACCCAGGGACACATAACCACTGAGCCACATCCCAACACCCCCATTTTTTTTTTAATTTGTTGAGTTGCATAGGGCCTCAACAAGTTGCTGAGGATGGCTTTGAACTCGAAATCCTCCTGCCTTAGCCTTCTGAGCCACTGAGATTACAGGCATGAGCCCAGCCAGGACTAATTGTATCTTTAGGGGCAATTAAGGTAAAAAGATTTTAGTTCAATTTCAGAATTAATATAAACCAAGGACATTTTGCTTCACTATAGAACAAGAAGGTAAGATCATCAGGAATAACTGATGGAAAAGCAGTGACATTGAGCAGGAGACAGATGATTATTTGGAATCAGATCTAATCATTGTTACTGTTCTGTTTGCTTCCTTTATCCACCCTATCACCTCTTTAGAGCCTATGAGTTCTCATCCCCATTTCACAGATGAAAAACCTTTGGTTCTGAAATTTGGAACACTGACTCATAGTATTCTTCTAGAAAAAAGGTCTAATTTATACAGAGATGGGTAAAAAATAGTTCATTTCTATGGGTTGCCCTAGAATTATATTAGCTTTAAAATGTTCTATATGAGCTTACATACATATTTAATAATTTTTTTTCAAGAAACCATTTGTACCCTTTATCTTAAGGCATTAAGGGATTTCCAAACACATCCAACTATGTCCTAAAACACTTATTATATTGCCTTATTTTTTAGGTGTGAAAATGAAACCAAGTTCAAAACAGAAGAATTATTTTGGGCTTACAATTTCTGCCCTACTCCATACTCTTGGACTGCACTTCTGGGCCTTATTTTATATCTTGTTTTCTTTGCACCTGGTAAGCAAAGGCTTTGTTGTTGTTATTGTCTTAAATTATCTCCTTTTAAAATAAAAGTTATTATTTTGCAAAATTTTTACATGCTATTTTACAGAAGCTTTAATTTTTTTATTTTTTAGGAATGGGACCAATGCCTTGGACTGTGAATTCTGAAATATATCCCCTTTGGGCAAGAAGTACAGGAAATGCATGTTCATCTGGAATAAACTGGATTTTCAATGTTCTGGTTTCACTGACATTTTTACACACAGCAGAATATCTTACATACTATGGTAAGAGCCTGGTTTGATCTTGAGGCTTATGGCTATTTCTCATCCACTGTCGTAACCCCAAATATCTCCCCTCTACCTCCCCAGTTGGACATCTTCACAGTGTAGCTTTCAGTTTAACAAACAATAGAAAGATGAAGGCAGGGCCAACAAGATACCCTGTAACAGGGAAGCACTCAAGTCTAGGAGCACAGTCAGTGGAGGGCAGAAAGTAAATTACACAAATACTGAAAGATATGATGTGTTGTGCTCATGCCTCCCACCTGTGCTGTTCAGGCCACGCCCTGTACCTTTCAGTTTCTTTAAGGCCAGTACTTCCACAACTGTGACAAGAGTGTTCAAGTGAAAAACGTGGAGACGATATTTCAAAAACAACAATACTGGGAAATAGCTGGGTTACAAAAATACTTTGGGAAGCTGTTTCAAATCCTTTGTACTTAAGTGAAAAGACATTATTTTTTTCTTTCTTTTTTTTTTTTTTTAAAGAGAACTCTGTGGGCTGGGGCTGTAGCTCAGAGCGCTTGCCTAGCACTGTGAGGCACTGGGGTTCGATCCTTAGCACTGCATAAAAAAATAAATAAAATAAAGGCATGCTGTCCATCTACAAAAAAAAATTTAAAAGAGGGTTCTGCCTTGTTTGTCCAACTTCATAGGTTCTGATAGGATCTAAACAGTGAAATGCAAGGTATTCATTATCATCTCCCCATAGCCTTGGTAGAGTTTGTGGAAATCCACTCTTCCAGAAAACCTGTTCTGATTCCCTTCCCCATCTCACCTCAGTCATGCTCCAGGAACTTTTATAATTCCATGTTACAGAACAGGCTTACTGGCCTTCTTCCCAACACTCTACCACTAGACCATAAATCCCTAGAGAGAAACTATATTCCTGAGTCCTTTTATTGCATTTTATTCACCAGATAAGCACTCAAAAGTGTTTGCCCAGTGAATAAATACATGAATGAATTTTGTAGATAAATGATTACAAGGAAACATAAAAATCTATTTCCCTTCTCTTCTAAACATATTAAATTGGTATCTGCTTTTAATTTGTACTATTTATCCAATGATTTTATATTTTTAAAACTCTTCTAATCACTACTTAGAACACTTAGAAATAATTATTTTCTTGGAAAGGAAATGCACTGGCATTTTAAACTGGATATATATTTAGAATATTCAGCTTTGTCCCATTTGGCAATTAAAGATTTTTACATAAACTCATCATGAACTTATCTTCATGACATGATAAATATGAACACAATATTTACTTCTATTTGTTGTTTCTTGAGAATGTTTAAATATTTGAACACCTAAATATACACTAACACCCTGAGAAAGCATTTTGTATAGAAACTCATCGTCCAAATTAGAAAAAAAAAAAAAAAAAAAAGGTTTACATGGTAATACTTTGGAGAGCAAAGCTATTCCTGAATCTATACTTCTGAGAAAACATGAAACAAAAATGAAATTTAAATGGGTCATAAGCAGACCTTTTTCAAAAATAGCCAGTTGGAAGCTTTTGCTTCTCTCATGTCAGCACATTTGTCTACCTGATCTGCGACTCTCCAAGAGAGAAAATATTTCAGTTCGGGATCATTTTTCTCCTTTTTGTGTGATATTTTAATCTAATGTTATTGATTTATGTACGACATGTATTTAATAACCCTGATTTAATATGTATATATCTGTGTTAATCAACTTTTTATCCCTGTAACAAATACCTGAGAAAAACAACTTAAGGAGGAAAGATTTATAGAAGTTTCAGTCCATGGTTAGCCTGCTCAATTGTTTTGGGCCTGAGATTAGGCAGAACATAATGATAGAAGGATTAGCAGAGGACAGCTGCTCACCTCATTGGTAGCTGAGAAGCAGAGAAAGAAAGAAAGGGGAAGGGGCCAGGGACAACAACCTTCCAGGGCACAACCCCTGCAACCTATTTTCTCCAACCATGTTCCACCTGCCTACAGTTTCTACCATCTCCCCATAGTCCATTCAAATTATTAATCTATCAAATGGATTAATCCACTGATGAGGTTAAAGCCCTTCTGATCCAGTCATTTCCTAAAATCTCAACCTCTGAACATTGCTGCATTAGGTAGGGACCAAGTCTTCAACACATGAGACTTTGGGGGACATTCCAGATCCAAACTATAACACATCCTAATGCTATATTACTCTGGGAATATACATGGCTTCTTTCTTTCTTGTTTATTATTATTATTGTTAATTCATAAGGCTTGCCTTATAAGTCATTTAATAATGCTCATTACTAAAAATCATCATTAAAATGTCACCAGTATACCATTTTATACATATCATGTATGGCTAAATGGATTCCCTTGGAGAGCATTATAACACCATTCTTGAAATACTAAAATTCAATGAAACATGATCCTTGATTCAATTTGTATAAATATTTGTTTTTACCCAGTTATTTATTTTTTTAAATTTCTTGTGGATGTACAAGGCCAGGCATGGTGGTACAAACCTGTAATACCAGCAGCTCAGGAGGCTGAGGCAAGAGAATCACAAGATCAAAGCCAGCCTCAGCAACTTAAAGAGGCCCTAAGCAACTCAGCAAGACCCTGTCTCTAAATAAAATATAAAAAGGGCTGAGGATGCAGTTCAGTGGTTAAGCACCCCTGGGTTCAATCCCCAGTACTAAAAAAAATTTTAAAACACAATGGTGAGATTCAGTGATATATTTATGTATGTACATAGGAAAGTGATATCAGATTCATTCCACTGTCTTTCCTTTACGCATACCCCCGCCCTTCTCTTTATTCCCCTTTATCTATCCACTGAACTATTTTTCCCCCCAATCCCTTATTGTGTGGGTCAGTTTCTACATATCAGAGAAAACCTTTGACCTTTGGATTTGGGAGATTGGCTTATTTAACTTTGAATGATAGTGTCCAGATCTACCCATTTACCAGCAATTGTCATAGTTATTCTTCCTTATGACTGAGTAATACTCCATTATGTATGTATACCACATTTTTTTATCCATTCATCTGCATAAATATAGAACTCCAATAAGATTTATTTCCTTTAGAATAATGCTGAGGAATTATCTACACTGTTTTATAGTCCTGTGATAGACTTGTTACTTTTTTTTTTTTCCAAGGAGGAATAACGTGAGAAAGTGAGTTACATTATTGATTTGACCATGACAAGAAGTAGGCCTGCTTACTCTCCTCTGTAGTTTGACCAGTCTCAGTAGGGTCTAGGCAGTGTGCACATTTGCCTGCTTTGGATTCTTTATATTTTTTTCAGTCCTGTATTTTAAAAGAATGTCCTTTACTTTCTTTGGCTTTGGAAATCTAGATTGCAAACAAGAATCTGTATCATCTTTAAGAATCTTACTAATGCATTTAACTGTTTTTAACTATAGGAGTTTAGAATGACAGATTTTGTTACTTCTAATTAGGCCACTGTTCCAAAATTGTGAAAGATCATGAAAAAAAATATATTGTATAAAGCCAAACTGGATTTGCTTTGATATAATTTAAAATGTTTCACCATCTGCACTTTACTTTTCATGATTACCATCCTTTTTTTTTTTTTTGTCCCTCCTCACTAAAGATTGGATTTCTGTTCCCCTCCATATTTTTGCTTATCTGCCCTCATAACACAGGACTCTGCTTCCTTTTAGGGTAGGAAGAGGAAGTCAAACTGCCACATTCTCTAAGAGCTAGCTTGTCAATGTCACCATTTTTATGAGAACATTCCTAATTAATCATTTGGTAGAATTGAATAATGTTGACTATCACATTTTTGAGCATCCAAAATTCTAATGGACATGTAACATACATTATTTCTATTCTGTACAGTTTGGAAAAGCAGGAATTATTTCCCCTTTACACAGATCAGGAAACTAAGTTCAAAAGAATTTTAAAATCTCTGCCAAGGGTTCAGGATGTATGGGTCCTGAACCATAAATGGGACTTTCAGGGTCACATTCTCCACAGAGCCATGGAGCTTGACTTTTCTCACTGTGCCTCACATCCTAGATGACCTCATAATATTTTCTGATTTGGTATAAGCTATAAAAAAATAAATGTAAGCTTATAGTTAGTGTTTAAAAAGAACCATACTAAAATGAACTGATGATTTGTAAACAGTTGAATTTTACTAAAGAAAAAAATGTATTTTACAAGTCTAGCTCCTGAAAAAGTTAATGGCTCTGAGTACTTAACAAATGATATGTTGATTTAGTTAACCCTTTCATGTTTTTTCTAATATCTCACAATTTATCTGTTTCCCCTTCTGTCTTCTTATAGCCCCTCATTCTATTTAGCAGATTCTTTAAGCAGCACTCCTCCACAGTCCCTCAAGAGTTGCCAAGACATATTTCTGAGGAAATTTTCAACATAGCTATTTATTAAGAAAGTAGTTTAATATGTCTTTCCCTTACTGTGCTATTATGTTACCATATCAAAATGTTTTACTCAGTTGTTTAACTTCTATGATTATTCAGTTTAAAGCTATGTTGTATAATTGTACAATTCGACACTTTTTTCGGGTCTGCTATCCAGTATATTCCATCTGGCAGCTAAAAGGGCACATTAATTCTCTAGACCCTCAAATGTGTTCAGGCACTGCCCTATTCACTGGGACTCCAAAGATGAGCAAACACAACAGACTCTGCCCTCGAGTAGACCACATTGCTACTTACAAAAGAGCAAGTCTCTCTCTTTAGCATCTCGTAACCATTTTACCTATACCTGTTTGTGATTTGGACTATGTTATTTATAGACTCATAAACTGCCAGCGCTTAAATAGTAACTGTGAAACCATCTTACTTTATTTAATGAGGAAACTAAGGCACAGAGGTTAAATGACTATCTAGAAGACACTGAGACCAGTTTTACATCCAGGTCTTCCCAGTTCTAATTGTGACACCCTTTCTTCAGCTATTTGTCACATTAGTCTTTCATTTTGCTTTCCCCATCCTATATACAGATAATCTGGTCTGAAGGCCTAGAATTAGGCAAGGACTTTATTATAGTTGGTTGTTCCCCACCAAAGTTAAAATATAGGTTCTTAAACTTAAATGAGGAATTCAATTATAAAGGAAATGCCATCTTGGAAATATGGAGAGAATACAAAGAAGCCATGCATTCAGGTATCTCATCCATCAGGCTTGCTATACTGAATTTGAGAAAACACAAACAGGTAGTAGTTATGTCTTTATGGCTGTACTGCACTGATATGCATAATCTTACAGCAAAACAGAATTCTCTGAACTCATAGAGCTTACATTACAGTATGTCAGATGATGGAGAAAAAAATGGAATATAAAGGTCTAAGAGAAGGAACAAGGTGACCCGTTAGAAGATAATTGCAATAGTGTAGTGAGGGAGAATAGCCATAGATATCTATGAATTTACTAAGAAATTGTCATCTTTGGGTTATATTTTAAAGATAGAGCCAACAGGATTTCCTAACAGATTGAATGTTGGGTAGGAGAATAAAAGAAATGTCAAGAATGACTCCCAGACTTGTGGCACGAGAAACCAGAAGGATGGAGTTGCCTGTGTGCTCCACTGAGGCATAATTTAGCAATGTCATTATTGTGTTTGGTTCTGGAAATCAACATAAGAAAGAAATTTCCCCCATCTCAAAGTGCCTCTAGTCTTGTAGACAAGATTTAGATATACATATGCACATAATTATAATACTTCTTGGTTTTTTGTCATATAATACTTGTCAGCATAGTGCTATGGAAGAATATGGGAAGGAGTAATTCCCTCTAGTAACGAACAGGAGGAAAGGCTTCAAAGCAGAAATTACAGCTGAGCCTGGTCTATTCTTATTATTCTTGAGTTTGGCATTAAATGTTGCATTATATTCATAGAGTCAGAACAATTTGAGTAAACCAGGTTAGCAGGTTTTTAGTCCCATTTCCTACCGTGCTTATACATGATTGACTAGGGGGAGAAATGTCAAAATTGAGTACTCTTCTGACTTAAGCCTACATATATATATATTCATACATATTATTTACCATTGCAGGAGCTTTCTTCCTCTATGCTGGATTTGCAGCTGTGGGACTTCTTTTCATCTATGGCTGTCTTCCTGAAACCAAAGGGAAAAAATTAGAGGAAATTGAATCACTTTTTGACAACAGGCTATGTACATGTGGCGCTTCAGATTCTGATGAAGGAAGATATATTGAATACATTCGAGTAAAGGGAAGTAACTATCATCTTTCTGACAATGATGCTTCGGATGTGGAATAGTTACCAGTTGCTGATACCTTTAGTTATTTAAACAAGTGTTGGGGAGAACAGCAATTGGTGACCTCACTGCCCTGCTTTTAATCTGATTCTTTCCACAGTCTCATCCTGAATGACTTCCTATTCTAGAATACTTGATTAGGAGGTAAATGCAACCCTTATGACTTTTTTTTTTAATAAGCAAAAATTTTAGAAAAAAAATTTACAGAGATTTTAATCTACTAATTCTTCAGCTTATATTAATTCTTTAATCTAATAATTCCTTCCTGAGATAGTGTAAAATAATATTGTACCCAGTGACTTCAGTGGCCCCTTTTCCCCTAAGACCATATATAATTATTAGTGACAATAGAGTCAATGATAATATAGCCAAATTACATAAATACACTTTTAAAGAATTCTTTGAAATGGTCCAATAGTGTTTTATGTCAAAACATAGCCTATTGACCCTAAATTTTCTTAATGAGTAGTGGCTTATCTGTGATCCGTTATTAGAAAGTAAATTTTTTTTAAAGTTTCATCAACAGATTCAAAAGTGTGTCTTAGGAGGGCACAGCTGTCCTTATCTCTTTTGGATACCACATTTTGATTTCTCTCTCCAGATAATGCAAATTCTTCAGAGACTGACTCTACACAGGATCTTTTGAACATATCAAAAGCAGGTCTTTTTAGGGGTTATTTTCATACTTTTTTTTTTTTGCTTTAGTGATATTTGCACAGATAAGCTAGCAAGTTTTGATAAGTATATTTTATTGTCAAAGAAAGAAAGAAAAGATTTTTATAGATCCCTAATTCATAAGTCACTTAAGAATGCAACTATAAATGCAAATAGTGCCAGATCTTTAACTGTATTTCAGGGTCAGTTTTTGTTCATGCCAAACTCACATCTTCACTCATTGGTTCTGAATCCACTCTTTTGTGCCTTCATTGGTGTTATATAAATAGCTGCTAGCAGACTATTTTTCCCTTTCTTTTAATCCAGTAATTTCTGAAATGAGAGGAAGGAAATCAGTGGCAGAAATAGTCCTGCTGTTATTGATGTTTCTTTAATTAAAATCATGGGACTTATTTTTTTAACTTTTTATTAACTCTTCCTAAGTTATCACATTTAATTGTAATTGTCTTTTTCTTAACTCCATAAACTAGTTTTTATTTTGCCATCTTTTCACATTTTTTCGGACAATTTTCCAAAAATACCAAGATATATAGATTTGGCTCTATGTGAGTGTATGTGTGGAGATGTGTGTGTGTTTGTTAATGCTTGGTTTGATTTTCCTTCTTGTCTAAAAATTGAGATTTTTTTTTATTGGAACAAATTAATGGTTCTAATATATCACATGTTGAAATGTTGACTACTGCATTTCTATAATGTCTTTTCAAAGTGTTCATTAGTTTCTGTGTTCATTCATCACTGAACTCTAAATTCTTACCCTTCCATCAATAAATATTTAATACATACAAAATCACTTGCTTACAAAATCACTTGCTGATTTCACTAAAAACATGAATGAATCTTCTGTGGCCAGTTAGGAATGCCATCAGTTTGATGCATTGTAATAGTACATTTAATAAGGTACTATATCTTAAGTGAAAAGCTGGCTTTTGATAAATTCAGTCTTCAGTTGCCATGACAATTGTCAAACTGAGAATTTAGACAAGGAAGTTCACTCTAAGTCACCAGAAGTACTTAAGCAGTTACTTTGGTGCCCTAAAAATCCTTCAACAAGAAAATTTTCTCCATTTGGTCCTTTCATATTATTAAAAAAACATGATTTTTAGAGAACAGTGTTTCCTTGAATTAGGAGCTTTAGCGATTGATTTCTAAGGGAATATCAATATTGATTTTTCCCCAGAAAAGCAGATAATTTAATAGGGAAATGTATTATTTTATTAACATGGGATAATAAGAAATGTCTTATCTGTGTAAAATATTATACAGGTAAAGTGAAAATAAGCTACTATGTGATACAATCAATATTATGGGGAGAAAAACAGTAAAGTTTTCTCTTTAAAATTTTATTTTTCAGATTTGTTCAATATTGCCTCAGTTCTTCTCTTATTGCATATATAGCCTTAATTATAAACTTATACTCAGCTGGGCTGATGCACAGTAACTTTATTAAAGAAGCAACTAGACTCTTGCTTTTTCTTACCATGGCCTGTTCTCCCTGAAAAGAAAATGATGTTTTCAACTTTATATCCATAAATGACATAATACCAGGGAAAATCAGCCACAGTTCTCCTGTCCAATTTCCTTCAGCTCCTCCTTTAAAGGACTATTTGTTATTTATGTAATGATAATAATATTCCATATCTTTGAAGACAGAGAGATATAGTATAAGAATTATTTATAACTTTTTAAAAAAATAATAACTCCTTGAAAAGGAATCTTACACAGTTAGGGTATTTTAGATTTGGTGAACATTTATAATACATTAAAACTAAAATATATGAATTTTGCAAGTTTTTTTTAATATTATCACCTTTTAAGTTTTCAGTGCCTTTGGCTACCACTATCAACTTGAAAGCATCCCATTTGAAATATAATCAAATATATATTTTGTAGGACAATTTACATAATGTTATTTGACCTACCTATTAAATCACAGATTAAGCATCATGGTTTCAATTGAAATTATTTATAGTAATCCTCCTAATATGCTGCAAATTCAACAGAGGTATGTGATGGTTTAGGAAAATATAATGAAGAAGGTCATAATCACTGATGAGGCTAGGTAGAGAGCTGTTCTGCATTAAAATTTAAAATATTTTTGTCCATATATAGGCCTGAATGTGATATCAAAAAAGATATTAATATCTTTCTTCAAGGTAAACATACCTATTAATTTTTATTATTGCACCTAACTTAGTCAATGATTTAAAACATGATTGTTTTTAATATATATATTTATAGATGGAAAAAAAATTTCCATTTGTGCTTTTGTTCCCAGCCTAAGCATTAGTAAGTTCCTTAATAGAAAATTGTCTGAGAATACCTCTAAAGTCTTTTCATAACTTAATTTTACTACTGAACTAGATTTTAGTACATATCTAAATATTACTTTGTACATTATTCACACTAAAATGAGAAATTAGTTCAAGCAAAAAATTTATAAATTTCTTACTATAACTTCAGTATCTGTTAGGAAAAACACAAGTTGGCAACTTTACCCTTTTGGTTTTCAATAAAAATTAAAATGTATTATAATCACAGACCCAGGGGCTAGGGGGAGAGTATGATATTTTAGAAAATACTATCCATATGTAATCTTAAAAATCTCACATCTCAATTACACTAATATAGTTCACTTCTACAGTGGGGAGTTTGCAGGATTGTTGTGATTTGATTTTTATCAGCACAATAATTAAGTATTATTATGTTATCAAATTTTACTATTTTCAAAGTTATAGCAAATTATACTAAATACCTGACTTTTATTCTGGTGTGGTAAATTTTCAATTATAAATTCAGACCTTTTCACTTATTAGTAATAAAATAATTAAACATAACCAGGCTAAGAAAAGAGAATTTATAGTGTATGTTTTATAGCAAACTATTAAATTATGGGTAAAATTTACAGCTGACATAGATGCTACCTATAAAAAAGATTCATAATTATTCTCTGGATTAATTTTAATGTCCTTTATTCTGTCACTTTCTATAAATTTTTTAGCCTCATGTATAGTAATGTTAAGCTAATTTGATGAAGTGGTTCAGATTGTAGCAGTATATAAACTGTTGGTACATTCATTTCTTCTAGGTGAGCAATACTGCTGCTATTGTCTAGAAACAGCAATCATTTAAAAATGCCAAACAGCTAACTGCTAACAACTCTTTCTTGTATATCATCTCTCTTTAGAGAAGGAAATTTTTGTATGCCAAGTGTTGATGTTCGAAAGTACATGAAAAGGTATTTTATCCTCATAACTTGCTTGTGAGTGTAAAACAACATAATTCCTATAAATCTTTTGTGTGTATAAAATACAGTCTGTTGTACTTGAATAATTTGGTCTACAGAATTTCAAATACCTTCATTTAAAAGGAAGTCACATTTTTGTTTTAGACAGTTCATGTGTTTGATTTTGTCATATCAATATAAATGAGAAAAAGAAATGGACTGTGCAGCTAACTAGTACTTAAAATCACAACAGTACTTTGTGCAGTTTTAAGACGTTAGTAAATTTAACATTATTCCATTTCATTTAAAGATCAAAAAAGATCAGACTTTAACTCTGGCCAAAGTAGAAATTTATGTTCTACATGTCGAAATTGTTTCCTAGCAGCTTTTGGACTGTATCTCACATGATGTTATAGTATCTTTTATTTGTAATAAATGTTCAGATTTCTCTTTAGAAGCTCTAATGTACATCTAGATAAAAACAGTTTTATGCTTTTAAAAATGTATGTATTTCAAACTGTATATTTTAATTTGAGTGCATGTTACATAGTGTTACTTCATATGTCTTGGCAAATTCAATATATTTATTCTCACATGTGACATGGGATATCCATGAAAAATTATGAATATGTATTATTTCCTTAAATCATCCTAACCTATGTTGTATCAAAAGTATTGTATATTTTATGGAGATTTAGTGCTATACATGTATATGTTTTTTAAGTTATTTTATTGAAGTTCAATCTTTACATAAAATTTAAATCTTTTTTTAAAAAAAATGTCAGTGCCACAACTGTAATGAAAATAATCCAATAAACTTTAAAATAATTCATTACTCATAATTCCCTTGTACTTTTTTCTATACTTCTCTTCCTTGGATTTTAGTATACAGGTTACAATATTTAAAGCAGTCTACTTCTATATATTAATGCAGTTCTATCTATTTTAATATTTCTTTCAATTGAAAGAAACTGAAAAATATTTATTTAAATAAAAAATGTTTAATATTTTAGATAATTCAGTTGCCTTCAGAAATTTTTTTTGGTTGTCACTTTGTGAAAATGAAAACAAAATATCTGCTGAATGGTCAGCTGAATAGGTCCTTCTGGAACTCTTTTGCTTTCCATTGCTCTTCTGTCTTAATCATAGCTTTTATTAGCAAAGAAATACATGCTTGATATGGGCAGTCACCAGACCCATCTCCTTAGTTAGTTAGATGAGTGTTACTCTAAGCATGACTATAAAAATAACCCAAAGAGATCAATCATCTCAAGACACTTGGCATACAGTCATTTAGGGGCTTCTATGCTTTTGCTTCTAACCAAAGAGTTTAATGTCAGCAGTAAAGAAAAATCCTATGGTCAAAATTACTCTTGCAAATGCCACACATAAATTGTCCACTTACCTGAACAAGGACACCTAAATAGAACACATCTAGTTAGTGGTCAGAAAATCCTCATTTAATTGTCCAGTCTTATGGTATACATGGTGTTATCCTTTTCTGCTTCTAAAGCTTAAATTCAGAACATTTTTGTGACTTGCTCAAGATCACACAATAGGAACTGATGTAAATTTCTCTTTGGTTGCTATTCCAGCCACTGTTGGAGTAGATTATTTGGAATATCATCATATCACACCTAGGCATACAGATTAAAAAACAGACAAAAAAGAATCCTTGCATCATAATTTTAAGAGTATCCAGAAAAATAAACAAATACCTCAATTTAACCAGAACTACAGAACAAATCCTGGAGACCCTTGACTTCATGATCCTCTTAAAATGTGAGGCAATAACATAGAACATTGTTTGAGAGGTCAGATTGAATTCAAATTGTCTAGATTTCAATACCAGCTATTCCACTGCCCGGTAGCCTAAATTACTAATCTTAGTTAATCTTTGCCTCACTTTCATTGTCTACAGAACAGAGATGAAGTTAGTATTACTACACAGTTGTAAAGGGTCTGTCAACCATGTAAAGCACGTAGAGCAGCAGCATATAGTAAGGGATAGATAACAGCTGGCTCTTCTTAGTTTCATCATACATGTTCTATCTCTGACCCTGCTGCTAACAGCATGATGTTCAAAACACAGGCAATTTGCTTACCAAGTCCCTTCCTGGAAACAACTACTACAGTCTTGACATATAGCATCCCTGCTGACCAGAATTCTTTGAGCTGATCTAGCCTAATTGTCCCCCTTCTTTTTTCCACTTTTTTTCCATAAGCATGCTCAAAGGCACAGCTAATGAAAACCACAGGATTCCCAAATTCTTTCTAAGAAGAAATATAAGGTATAAAGGAAACAAAGGAAAAAGAGACTATAG